AAAAAAAAAAAAAAAAAAAAAAAAAAAAAAAAAACTTATCAGTCACTATGCCGTCCGCCAGCAGGGACCTGTGACGAGATGGTTGAGTGTGGGCATGACTATTGAAGTTGGGAAGATGGCGGACTATTCCGGATTTCAGGGCGCTATAAGAGACTCGGATGGGAGCTGCGAGGCGTTGTTGCAGGGCAGACTGAGGGTTACCATACGTACTGGGTGCTTGCTGCGTTCCGATGCTGTGTCACCATGACCATTACTACCATGACCATTACTACGGAGAGGTTTCACTAGTTGTAGTCACGAGCTCATAATACCTTTGAGGGGTAGGGGAAGGTTGATGCCACGAACCTGCGAGTTGTGGCTGCCAGGCTGCTGAAAGGCTGATGCTGGGTAGTGGAGTTACAGGAACTATGCTACGTCGGCCGATCTTGGGAGAGCGGCACGCTGTGGCTGGAGGGTGTTCGGAACAGGTGGCTGCTCAGATGGCTGTATTACCGCTGCTGTGACACCGGTTTCTGTTGGGCTGTCTGCGCCTGCAGTAGCCTTACAGCTGTGGCTGCGGATGCGGTGCTGTTACCGAGTAGTCTATTACTACTGGTATAGGAAGCCGCCGCGTCGGCAGGCTATTTTAAAGCCGGGTTGGCCAGTTGCGGGAGCTGCAGACCAGTCTAGTGACCAGGGTGTTAATCACCCTTTCAGCCAGCGCAGTTATGAGCCAGTGTTGGTGCTACAGACTTACCAATTGACTAGGCGGTGAGGGGCAAGAACGCAGGGACTGCAGCTTACCTACTGGCTGGTGCCATTGCTGCAGGAGTGGGCAGCCTATGCAAAAGGGGTTATTGCTGCAAGTGGGGCTGTAACTGCGAATTGGAGAATTGACAGCTGGCAGTTTGACTCTTTCTGACCAAGCGGCTGCTTATGGGGCACGAGTTGCTGCTATAGATTGGATACCGACTGCTGAGAACTGCTGTCGCGTGCGGACTGTCGTTGTTAGTCACTACATGTTATTACTTATCTCTACTGAACTATCCCAGGTTGTGAGGGGGGTTATCACTGCAACTCTAGGCCTGGTCAGAATACCGGTTGCCGGCAGATTGAGCTCAGTTCGACTAGAGGCTGTGTGGTTTGGCCATCATTGTGGGGCCCTCAGGCGCATCAAGGTAACGAGGCCCTCTCCAGTGAGATTGAGCGCACCCCTCTTGCATCTCGAGAGACTGAACATTTTTACTTCTATCCTTCTCAGTTTAAGTCTAGTCTAAGGCTACGAGAGGAAGGCGGCAGGCGGGATTGCAACCCGTAGGACCGCGCCAAGGCCTCTGTGGGAGGTCCGCCCCACCGATTGCGGGAGCTCTGCCGGAGCCCAGGCGGGGTTCTGGAGGCAGGGAACTTCAGGTATAATCTCGTTAACCTGTGTGATCCCTTCCCCTACTTATTATCCTTGGGCTATCTGAATACAACTATGTAAGACTATTACTTTTTTGCTTTGTTATGTATGTCAGGACATGCATTGTGGAAAAGTAAAGTAACAAGTATATGAGAGATCAGATGTATATGAGTGAAGTCAGACAAAATGAATTGGGGGGAAGGCGGGTTGAAGCTTTTGCATGCGCCTGATTGGGTCAACCAAAGGCTGGACCCCTCTAGGTTGAGTGGGTTCACTGCTGTGTTTATTTTATGTTTGTGGGACTGACTGTATGCTCTTGAGGGCTGGACCTATCCTAGGTTGGACGGACCAGTCGCCGTTTCTTTTTGGGGTTTCTGAACAGGAGGATGGGCATCCTAAGTTGGGAGGTCTCAGAATCCTGGTGTTTTTTTATGGGTTGCTGAAAACAAGACTGGGAACACTCTAAGTTGCGTGGACTCAGTTCTGTGTGTGTTCTTTTGTGAGGGGGACACAGATATAAGGCTGAGCGTACCCTTAAGTTAGGGCGGCTCAGTCATAAACCACGAACATGCAGGTCAACCAAAGTATACAACTTTGATACATACTATACGAACCTATATCATCTGGCAGACCGGGCACCCTAAGTTGGGAAAGCCAGTCAGTAAGTCGGGTAGAACAAAACGAAGAGAGAGGTGAATGAAGAATACAATGAATGTAACTAGGGCAGGCTGAGCGTACCCTTAAGTTAGGGCGGCTCGGTTTTATGCTCGTGATAATACAAAGGAGCAGAGAGTTAGTATAAACTTGTTTTATTTTCCCTTCTAAAAACAAGGCAGGGTTGGATGTCTCCCTAAGTTGGGTAGGTCTGATCCTCTGCCTAATAAGAGAGAAACATAAAAAGTTTGTGCAAGTATCAATGGTTGTTCTTCTATATTGTCATTACGGAGGCTAAGCGTACCCTTAAGTTAGAGCGGCTTAGTCATACGTCGTTTGTACTTTGTTCAGGCAGACTCTGTCTTATGTACCTAAACTGTTTAAGCTAGCTAGGCGTACCCTTAAGTTAGGGCGGCCTAGTGATATGCTCTTGTCGTTGACGTTATGTAGGTTGGACGTACCCTTAAGTTAGGGCGGTATGACCATTCATCGTTCGTACTTGTTTTAGGCAGGTTAGGCACACCCCTAAGTTGGGGCAGCCTAATCCTATGCCCTATGTAACTCTGTGTAAGGCTGGCTAGACATACCGGTCCCTTAAGTTAGGAGAGCCTAGTCTTATGCTTCATTTCGTCAGTTTAAACAGAAGCCAGGCATTCTGGTCATATGTTTTATGACTAGAGTTTATCTGGAGTTGGGCATACCCTTAAGTTAGGGCAGTCCAGTTGTGCGTACTTTACTTGTTTACTTAGGCAGGTTGGGCACACCCTTAAGTTAGGGCCTTGTTTGATCCTATGCCACAAGTGAGGGGGATATTAAAAGGGGAAGAACTGAATGATCTAACGAACTACTTGGACGAATTGACGTGGGATTGTGAGATATGTTTGTGCTTGCATGATCGTGGGCTCTCACTTGGGGCATCATTTGGATAGAGTAGTTGTTGTAGATGCTCGCCAAGTGTTGGAGCCATAGGTAGGTAAGATGGATGATGGGAGGGAAGCTTGGGATAAGATAGGATTGACTCTGCTAGGGTTTAGGATGGGCATTGGCTCATGGTCTCATTCAGAGGGCATGTAAACTAATGTTGAGCCTAAGTTACCAAGCAGGCGCCAAAAGTTAATCCCAAGTATAGTTTTGTCTTGCATTTCTGTTTTCAGCTTCGTATAAATCTTGGTAGCCTCCTTTTCCTACGAGAAGCGTTGCCGAAATTTCTACAAATCTGAAAGAGTTGGTCATTTTTGGACTTGTAGAAATTATGGGAAGGCACTTTTCCTACGGGAAGCGTTGCCAAAATTTTGCAGAATTTAGGGAGTTAGATTATTTTTAGCTAGGAGAAATCTGGCAATTCATCCTGTTGAGGGGACATGCTGCCAAAAGTTCATAAACATCAGAGGCCAGGCATGATTTTATCTTTATCACTCCAGCATGGCTTGGGTACTACCCTGTGTTGCATTGCAGGTCACCTTTATTCATATTGATTCAAGGTTTGACTATCTTCAAGCTGATCATATAAGGGTCACCTTCTGTTATCCTTACATAACAGGTTGGTTTCCGGCTCAACTCTAATTCATTCTTGCTACCCAACCTAAAGGCTTTAGCCCTGTGGTTTGATTTGTTTTGTTGTGTTTTTACCCGGACTTTAATTGAATGGCCATTTAATAAAGATGCTGAGTATTTTATTGTGAGAGTTGCACAAAGAGTGAGGCTTGTATGGCTAAAGCGAGGGGTGTGAGCGCAAGGAATGTTTGAAGTTGACCCCGTGTAGTGCATGGATTTTTGGTTGGATCTTCGATGTGATTGCAGGTATGTTTGGTGATTCAGACTTTGGATTTGACTGCCTACGATCACTTAAGTATATATGGCTGAGAGGAATCCCACTGTGATTATGAGAAGTGATCGTCACATATTTATAACC